AGTGTACATTAATAGGACTTATTAAAGACACTAAAGACTCCCTCGTTATGTAATATGCCGTTCTTATACACAACTTGAACTCCGTGTCTCTTCCAACAGCAGCTCCACACCGCGTGCCTCGAACTCCCTTCAGGCCTAAACTCCCTTCAGAAACGCGGCTGATCTCCCTTGAGATCTATATAGCAGATCTGCATATATTGGCACACACAGCGATGACACAGTGCAACGATGGCACAGTCCTGCTCCGCAGAACACCTTAGCAAACCTTCGACGCTATGAAGTGGTTTTTCTTCCAAATAATGCGCACGGTTCTTGTATGTCTTGGAGGCTTATATAGCCACGAAAATAAGCCCTAAGACCTAACTTGAACCCTAAGAAATCTATATAACTAGGTAATAGAATCCTAGTTGATTTCTACTTCTATTCTAGATAAGTACAAAAGATACCTAACTAGAATAAAATACATGGAAATAAATCTAAGTCCTAATAGAAGTATTATAAAATAAGACTCTAATAAATTCCAAAATAAACATGGAAAACAAATCTTTGCCAATCTTTTAATTTCAAAACTCGGCGGATTTCCTCGATCTTCAATAGTCGGAAATCTGGCGCCAACAATCTCCCCCTTTGGCATAGATTGGTTAGAATCCATGTTTAACAAGAACTCTCCTTGCAAATTAGAACTACTCCCCCTGCAGAAGAGATGTACTCCCCCTATAACACAGACTGTTAGGACACTAAATGTTTCGACATAAAAATGTCGTAACTAACTAAATGTTCCTGCAATGTCAGAATATAAACTTAAACGCATGACATAAAAATATTCAAAGCGCAGGAAATCACAACGTAATTTTCTATTTGTGTCACAACGCAAGTTGTTACGGCAGAGGTTATTACTACTCCCCATTTCTGATCAGTCTGTGCCAAAGATAGACTTAGAGTCCTAGTTAGAACAAAGGTCTGTTAAGACACGCAGTCAGGTAGTAAACTGTAGTCATGTGTAGTATACTTTAAGTTCAGTAATTTTACCAAAATTTGAATTTATAAAAACAAAATTTAAAAAAATTTAAAAAATTGGAAAAATAAAAAAAAAATCAAAAAATTAAAAAAAATCAAAATATTAAAAAAATCAAAATATTAAAAAAATCAAAATATTAAAAAAATTATTTTATAAAAAATACAATGATAATAAAAAAAAGTACAATATATATACAGTAATAAAAAAAATAATTAAAAATAAAAATGATGATATATGCAATACAAAATACGAAATGCAGGTCCAAAATGATAAATGCAGTAGGTGAAAATGTTGAATGTAGTTGGGCAAAAATTACAAATAAGGGCACAATAGTATATTTGCCTCTTCAGGGGTATCTCAAATGAAGATTTTTAGGGATGAACCTATCCCTATATATTTTCCATATAAGGGGTCTATATCTAATGGACCCATAATTATTTTGGGCGATTATGTGTCACAATTGGTTGGGGTGAGGGTAGGTTGGGGTGGTGAAGATTTGAGCAGTATATAATATATTTTCGTTAGGGTAATGCTGAAATTGTCATTTCATGGTAGTCAACCGACTTTGTTTGGATAGGGAGTTGTGTGCTAAATAAAAACTCATAGGTTAGTGATAATTGTTTTAACATACGGGTTTTTCCGACAATTAGACATTTCACAGAGAGTGTATGCAATTAACTTCAACTTAAACACCCAATGACAATCAATCGAAGCAGGTTCAAGTAAACACAAGATTGCTGATACTATTCACGACAATATGTTTCGTTGCCTATGAGATTCAAAGCAACAAAAATATCTTGTTACAAAAACGTTATTCTTTAGCCACAAATACTATATTTTGTTGCTAAAATATAACTATTGACAACGGAATTCATTTTGTCGATAAAGAAATCGTTGCCTATTTTGTATTTTCTTGTAGTGGATGGTTCGAATCATTAATTAAAGAAGATAAAGAGCATAAATAACAAGTCCTTATTCTTAAAATATTACACATTAGAGCAAATAACTTTTTATTTGAAATGGAGCAAATAACTAATTATCTATCATCAATCAAATTGGAAAAGAAGCTCATATTTGTTTAATTTTTTAAGCTGTAATAAAAACTAAGAACCTAGATTTTGACTAAGCAATTATTTTATATAAATATGTATATGAATAATTAAAGAGGATAGCATCATGAAGTAGAGAGCAAACCCCTAAATATAGGCTATATTAATTAAAGAAGTTAATTACTTACCTATGGTCACGAGACATGTAATAATACATCGGCATGTCGAATTGCAGCTTCAATATCGGTACCAACAAATTGTATATTAGTTCCTATGATTCCGTCGAACATAGATGCTTTGAAAGGTACGGGGTCGGAATCATCAAGCTTCGCCGTAAAGTTCAAATACAAATACACACCCGCATTAGCAACTCCAAATAATTTTATCAGGTCCACCACCCGGTATTTTTCCGATTGAAACATGAAAAAAATAAAAAAGAAAAAAAAAAGTAATAACAGAATTAATCACTGAATTTCAACCCAGGATGTAAGAAAAAATAAATAAAATCTAAAGGAATTTAAAAAAAAAAAAAAAAAAAAAAAAAAGCCATACCTTATCTTTGTTATAGAATTCAATTGCTAGGTTGACCATAGATTGGAAATATTGCAGACCATTGGGCTCACCAGATCCGGGGTTATCTCGATCATAAAAGAGTACTATTAAGGTTATTACACTTATGCCCGGTACTATTTCACTATATTAATTTTAGTCCCAAATTGGTTTTAGATCACTTTTGGTCCCTCAATAAAGTCATTTTATTAGAGCCCATATCTTATTATATTGTCCTTATACGTAATTTTCGACTCCAGCTGCATTCAACATTTACTCCGTCTGCATTTAGCATATTTGGTCTTGTATTTAGCTTTTTCGAGTTTTTGTTTTTTTAATTATTTTTTTAATTTTGTTTATAATAAATATGTCAATTTAGTTGCACATGTTTTCGAATTTTACTGTTTGATAAACAATAATGCAGCTATTACATTGCTATGTTCCTATGCAAAACACTAATTGAATTGGAATTGCACGGTAAGCTATTGGTGTTGTAGTCCAAAATGTGTCTTCAGCAGCACCCGCCTATCCCCTTATTGATTCTTATGTGTCGCTTCACGTGATTTTCACGAATTACACCTGCAGCATGATACACAACAGAATAATGATAAACAACAAGGTAACTGAAAAACATTATTACATAAAAATCATAAACAATGGATACTTACAATAAAAACACGAGGCGAATGGAGAAGCACATTTTGGATGTTATTTTTCAATTGTTGCCAAATGTGGCTGGTAAAGAATGTGCGAATTAGGTGTAAAAAAGGGAAACAAAAAGTGATCTTTTCGCATCGGCAGCAGTGTGCACTTGAAAATATTTTGCAAGGGAAAGAAGAAACAGTGGCCCCTCTCTCTCTTGTTCGGAAATCCAATAGCTCTCTCTCTTGTTCGGAATCCATTAGCACAAAGAAGCAGCTAATTAATTAAACCTGAAGCTAATGAGATATAGTAGTTGGAGGTAAAAGACCATGCTAATTGCAAACCAGCCTTTTTGTTTCAAAATCGAACCGAATATAAAGTTTCAATCTAACACTTATAATAAATCAAGATAACAGAATATTCGGATCTACTGATGAGAACACGCCTAGTTTCACTGAAACAAATTCCCGTCTCTAACTACAATTAACCTCAATGGCATGCTGATATTTGAAAGAAATAAAGCTTTTAAAGTTGGTAGTGATATAGATAGAGATAGAGACTAGCAAGCTAGCAAGCACCACATGGCGTTGCACGTGATTAAGTACGATTTTCCTTAGTATATAACTTATTAGTAATTAATAAAAGTACATACTATATTTTACAAAAAAATATATTTTTAAATAAAATTAAAATAACTACAAAACTTCATGTTCTACTTATTTGTCAAGACGTAAGATGAAATAAAATTATTCTAAAATTGATACTAATAAGAATATAAAACCACAAAAAAATAACTAAAATAAATTATTATATAGTAATTCATGCATGAAAAATGCTCATATTAATTTTTTTCTTAATTTGTTGTGATAGTTGATAATTTTCATTATCTTGTATTTCTCAATATAATTATTGTTGAAACAATTAAGTATTTTTCGTGTTACTCGTATGTTATGATCACTCTGGTCAAATTTACCAACAATTTTCTTAAAGAAATTTTAAATTTACTTCATCAGGACCTGGTATTTGGTGTGAATATAGCTAGAGTGCCTCTAATTTGAAAAATGCATATCTCCCTTGAATCTATATAATAT